TGATGCCGGCGCTTGGCAAAATCTAGAGTGCGTCGTCATTATACAGACGTCAGTGGGAGCTTAGCAGGCACTGATCAACCAGCGTGAACTCACAGAGGAGACTGTGTCCCAAGTCAGCCCCAAATTACAGCTCTCGGCAGCGTTTCCAGCCAGAAGAAGATCATCTCATGTTACAGAATTCTCTCTCCTTCATTCGATGGTGGTCTTCAGTAGGTCAGGAACTCTATCTTTCCCACGTGTCCTTTGAAGTCACTGTCTTTCCAGTCACAGAACAAGGAACTAGCAATAGCTGGTGAATTAATGTAAAGAACAACTGAATAAGGGACATTAAACAAAATCTCTCATCATCTTTTAAGAAGAGATTGAGAAATGTGGACTAGAAAATCACACAGGCAGGCACATCCATAGTGTTTGAGCAATCATGATTAATGAATGGATGAATGTCAGCCCCGAAGAAAGAAATCCAGGTACCAGAGCCGAGGCTGTCTGCCTTTCAGCATCGTCTGCAGCTCGATGAAGGTGGAGGCAGGATTATGATAGTGCTGGTGGTGAGAGCAGGTGACCACCTCTGACCAGGGCCTCCCCGCTCAGGGTCTACTGAGGGCCCAGCTCACACACCCCACAGGCAACCAGACCCCAGGAAAACCATGGACATTAACAATATATAGGCTCTGATAGAACAGTGGAAAATTTGAGAGCTGTTTATTTGAAAGAGTCTTGGTGAATTTATCCTGAGTTTGGGAGGTAACCACATGACAAAGATTCTTAAATTTGGGAAATCCGTTTTTGAATCTGCTTTTCCTCCAGTCTTATGTGTTCCTTACCTAAGAGGTTATAGTCAAGGAATGTATCAGAAACTCAGTAAAAGGAGAAGAAAAGAAAGGGGCACATGGGAAAGATGAAGGACTTCTAGGAAGTTTAATTTGTCATCACTGAGATCACAAACTTAATATTCCTCCAAAGACAGAGGGTGTGAATTGAATGGACTGTGGCTGATGGAGTCCACACTCCTGTCTCAGATTTCCTGCATTGGCAGGCAGGTTCATTAACAACAGCACCACCTAGGAAGCCTCAGAGAGTGCCCTAAAGATATGCATAGTTGGGGATTCCCTCAGTGAGCCAATTGGACTTCTGACCAGGCAACTCCAGGAAAGGTCATGAATGTTCACAGATCCTATCCACAAAAACACACTTATTTAGGAGCAGTTGGCCAAGGGCTTCCCTTGTAGCTCTGTTGGTAAAGAATCTGCCTGTAATGCAGGAGACCCAGGTTCAATCGCTGGGTCAGGAAGATCCCCTGGAGAAGGAAATGGCAACCCACTCCAGTATTCTTGCCTGGAGAATCCCCATGGACAGAGGGGCCTGGTGGACAACAGTCCATGGGGTCGAAAGAGCATACAGGACCAAGTGACTAGCACATACACACCCACACAACAGAAGAAAATGAAAAGGAAGGCTTTTACTGATGCATAGTTGAGTGACAATGCTGTGCCAGTTTGAGGTACTCAGCAAAGTGATTCAGTCATACACCTATTATATCTGTTCTCTCAGATTCTCTTCCGTTACAGACTGCTAAAACACACAGAGTCCCCTGTGCCAAACAATAGGTCCTTGTTGATTGTCTGGTTTACACAGATTAGTGGGCATTTGTCAGCCCCACCCTCCTAACTCATCTCTCCACCACTGTTCCCCTTTGGTGGGCACAAGCTCTGTTTCTATTTTGTAATAGATTCGTTTGCATCACATTTTAGATTCCACATATAAATGAAATTACACGGTGTCTGTCTGACTTCACTTAGTGTGATCACCTCTACGTCCATTCATGTTGCTGCAAATGGCGTTATTTCATTCGTTGTTATAGCTGAGTAGGAAGATGTGTTTTTAAAGATATGAATTAACAGCCTCAGAGAGAAAAGAGAGTGTATCCAGGAAGCAAGACATGAACGTGTTTCAAAAAGATATAACAAAAAAGAGTGCTTGGAGGTTAAAAATATAGTCGCCAAAAAGTTAAAAGCCAAAAGAGTTGGATAATGAAATAAAGGAGATTTCTAAGAGAGAGGGTAAAAAAGTTTTTTTTTTAATTAGTCAAGAATATTCAAACACAAGACAAATGAACCTATTTATGAACAGAAACAGACTCAATTTTCTGTACCTCAGAGATTAGCACATTTAAATCAGCTTTGTTTCAACTAAAAAGGAAGAATACTCAAGCAAAATTAGGAAATTGATTTAGAAATCACAGTGTTGGAAGTAATTGGAATCCTTAAAGAAAAGAGAAAACAGAGAAAAGAAAAAATCTTTGAGGAATAGCACAAGAACGTTCTACCGAATCACAGGATGTACCGACCGCTAGAGTCTGTGGACGCCCCAGCAGAGGGTAAAGAGCAGTCTCACCCCAGACATGCCTCAGGATGCCCATGACCTAAGGAGTGAGGGACTCCTCAGGCCTGCGGCAGGAGAGAGGATGGACAACCAGCCTGGGGTGGGGTGTCGTCACTGCAGGGTTGCAGGCCGGAAGGGATGGGGTGAACACTGATCATCCTGAGATTTCTTACCATCAGAGACCCCTCAGGCACTATGCCGATGGCTCAGGGTAACAGAACGCAGACATTCTTAGATTTTCAAGATTGCAAAAATTCACCCACATCCTTCTTGTCTCAGAAAGCTGATAGTCACCTTGCCCAGCTAAAATGAACTGAATTTTTAAAAGGCATAGGATCCAGGGAACAAGGGATAAAATATCTGGGTAAACGAATTACCAGGAAACTCAGCAAAAAGAAAAAAGTTAGAAAACAAATCAGTTATCAAGTTTAGAGAGAACAAAAGTTCATCTAGAAACAAAGCATAGTCCAGATACACTTTGTATGTCTTGGTTAGAGAAACTTGCTCTTGAAGAAAACTTCTGTTTTCATAATTTTATCTACTATAACTCTATGTGGTTAACTAAATAGTGAATGTTCGTTTGATTCTTGTGCTCTAAACTTTTTTTAAAGATTTGAGAGGAAAAGTGGGGTGGGGTAGGGGGCGGGGCAGGCATTATGGGTCTGCATGTGCCTGTGTCTGAGAACTTCTGGGGTAGGAAGCCAAAATCTAACATGGGGAAGATCCAGAAATAGCAGAATAACCTTTTAATTTAGAAAAACAGGGTAAATGCTAAGTGAAAGAGAGTTTGAAGTGGCTGCTACTGGAGTGGGCAAGGAGCTGCAGCTTTAACTAAGCTTTGTGGAACTCTTTGCCATTTTATGGCCATGTTTTTCATAAAGAGTTTGAAAGGTATAGGAGGTGGTTATAATATATTGTGGTAGAATAATAGAAAAACATATGACTTTTAAAAGAAAGCAGAAAGCCCAGAAAAATGTATGTCAACTATTAGTAGTTAATCTGAGTGTCAATTAAAGGATTTTTCTTCCTTTTATAATTTTAAAAAAAATTGAGATATGTATTACTGATGAAGTTGTAGATTTTTACAGACGCACTACACACACATACTTCACACACACATACACACACTACACACATGCATACATATGCACACATTTGTTGTTGTTTAGTTACTCACTCACGTCTGACCCTTCTGCAGCCCCATGGACTGTGGCCCACCAGGCGCTTCTGTTCATGGAATCCTCCAGGCAAGAATATTAGAGTGGGTTGCCATTTCCTATTCCAGGGGATCTTCCCAACCCAGGGAACCCCTGCATTGCAGGCGGGTTCTTTACCACTGAGCCACACACACATATACTACACACATACTTGAAGCACCAGGTCTGGCCCACAAGAGGAGGTTGCCTTCCCTGGGAAGCGGAGCCACGTGCCCTGTCCTCTGGGAGCCTGCATGGATTAAAACACGGGGCTCCAAAAGAGCAGGACGGGAGGCCCAGCATGTGGTGTCAGCTGCACCCCTCCCAGGATGAGCCCTCGAAGGACTGGGTTTGGAGTCCGAGGCTTCTGTCGGCCCCCCAGTGCGGGAACTGTGCACATCCCCACATGTGATGAAGCGCTCTTTATGCACATGTTCAGCAGTGACGGTGGCTGTATGGAAGCTTTGTCTGTGGCGAGGAGGAGAGGAGCGGTTTGCAGACTTTCAGAAACAGGGACCCAGAATCAGTCATTAGATTACTCCCTTAGAGATGAAACAGATTTCCCCTCCAACAATGAGACCGGCCCCATCCTGATGAGATGCCTTCAGAAGCTGAGCGCTCCTCACTGTTGAGTGTCTCAGAGGAGCTGAGTCTCCGAGCCAGGGTGTAGCGTGGTGTCCTGTACACTGATGCTCTGGGTGGGGGCATCAGCCTGTGATGCTACCCTGGCTGCACCGGCAGGAGAGCCAGGGAAAGTCAGGCCAGGGCTGAGACCTGAGCTGCCCTCTGTCTCTGCAGGAGCACGTCGGGGGCCCTTGATAAACCTTCTAGAAGGAATAGTACTTTAGGGCATTTAAGTAAGAGCTCAGGAAGGCTTCCCAGGTGGCTCAGTGGTAAAGAATCACTCCTGAGAGTGCTGCAGACTCAGGAGACAAGGGTTTGATTCCTGGGTCGGGAAGATCCCCTGGAGGAGGAAGTGGCAGCCCACTCAAGTATTCTTGCCTGGAGAATCCCATGGCCCGAGAAGCTTGGTGGGCTTCAGCCCACGGGGTCACAAAGAGTCAGACATGACTGAGCGCACACACATACAAGAGCTGAGGACCCCCTTTTTCATATTCACACCGAGGGGAGATTTCCTAGTCTTCTGATTTGCCTGCAGCCCCTGGGAAATATAGGGCAGAGCTTCTGCCCTCTGCCACCTAGCGGTCTTGGGGGCATCTCTGAGCATCCCTGGACCCCCACAGGGCCACCCCCGGGCAACACAGCCAGTCCTCACACGCCTGCCTCCATTGCCCACCCAGGGAATCCAGTGAGGGGACTGGCACCCTGCCAGCCTTCCTCGGGGTGCCCATCACCCTGGCCAGCTCCTCCACGCACACGGCCGCCCGCACGCTGACCCTTTGTCCTCCTTTGTGTCTGCAGATGTCTCTGGGGTCGCAGATGGACTTACAGAAGAAGAAGAGGCGGGCGCCGGCTCCCCCTCCACCGCAGCCCCCACCACCCAGCCCGCTGGTGCCGCCCCGCACGGAGGGCAGGGAGGAGGGCAGAAAGGGCAGGACGGGTGAGTGACCGTGTTTGCACGCCTCTCGGTGCTTGGCCTGCATCTTAGCGCTGCTACTCACCCCTGCAGTGGCCTCCTCCGGGATGGCATTAACCCGAAGAATATTTAAGCTAAAGAAAGAAAGTCTGGAAATAAACAGTCGCGAGTCATGTAATACCCTGCAGGCATTTTCCGGGGGTAGTGCAGGCATTTAGAAGGTGGGCCAGTGGGGAAAGGTGAGGGTGACTGAGGAGGCCCAGGAGGGGGCACGTGATGGAGAGCCCATGTGTGTGGCTGGGAGTCGGTGTCTGCTTGTGGAAGGTGATGAGTCTAAGGATGGAGCCCATGGATGATGCTGTGAAAGACTTTCGACCCAGGGGATTTATATCAGGTTCCGTCATTTTTTGAGCACACTGTTTGAAACTGATCACCAGTTCTATAGCTTTCATATATGATATTCTTAGAGAAAAAGGGAACCCAAGTTAAAGAGGGTGCAATCATAATATAGTTTAAAAGGGTGCAATTATAATATCTGTGAGCAGAAAGACCTATTGGATCATAACATCCTGCTCCCATCCCTAGGTCCATGAGCCAGGGATTTTATTCTAAAATCACTCACTGTTTGTTATTTCATTTACAGAGGGACCAAGATAAACCTCTGACACAAGTGCCTCCGCCCTCATTACAGGGTGTTGTTCAGTCTCCTGGGCACTCTTGTGGTCGCCTTTGATCTCAAGGCTGCAGCACCCAAAGGGAAAATGTGCCCAAGGATGCGATGTCTCACTGTTAGCCCTAAAACTTTCATGAGAGCTACTTGGCTGTTTGTCAGCATTTTCCCCTGGCTAGTACCTTGCTTTTAATGTCTTAGTATTTTATTTCACAGCGTGGGGATTGACTTTTCTAAGGAGCTATAGCCTGTATTTCACATCAGTGCATCCTCTTTCCCAAAGGAAAAGCTATCTGATTTAAAGGAAACGTGATCAATAGCTCCTTCAAGTAATCCTGTTTTCTTTTTCTCTTAATAATGAGACCCCTATTCTGCCTTCCAAGCCTCCTCCTCACTCTTTTCATAAATGGATGATGAACTCAGATTGAGAGTTCCCTGTTGAAATTCTTAGAAGCATCCATGGTCAGGGTAGTGTGGATGTGTTGAGTCCAGCAAACCTTCTGGCCAGACCAGCCCATTTCAGCTGGAAGGACCTCCTGATGGAGCCTTGAAAGACTGAGGCCCATCTCTGACGAGCTTAGAGATTCTGGGCTGCTGGTACCCAAGTGGATCACAGGAGAAGGGATATGGAATTTTAAAGTGAAAACTATGGTGATAGTTGCCTCTACAAAGAGGTGTGGATGGTAGTGACTGGGCATGAGTCTCTCTCTGGTCCATAAACTTGTCTGTGAGGATTAAGGAGGACGCCAGAAGTCCCTTTCCTCCAGACAATAACTTTGAATAATTTTTGAGGTCAGGGGTCTTGGCCATTTCAAGGCAGACTTCCATCACCATCAGAAATCCCCATGAATTAAAAGTACAATATTGGCATCACAGGCAGAACTTTTAGCCAAAGTCTTGGCTTTAGGTTAAAAGATAATGCTTTTAAAGTAGTCCAAACCACAACAAAATATTCTGAGCTTTTTATATCAGATCCCTAGGGATCAAAATGTTTTAAATGTTTGGCACTTGTGCTAAAGTAGTATTGCAGTTGGCTGGATTTGGGTCTTGACCCAAATTTCTTGGTAAACAAAACCAAGCCTTCTAGTGGAGAGCCTCTTCATCTGCCTGCCTTGGGATTGGTGCTGTCTTGTCTTGTCAGGTCTTTACTTGTGGGCCAGGCGAACCATACCCATTCAGACTGCCTTAGCTTATTTGCACTTTGAGAGAGGAAATGATATATAGATATAGTAATATTAATATTTTTCTGTGTCTAAAGAACTACAACCAAGAGAAGGAATAAATGGATATATCCCTTGATGAAGAAATGAAGTTTCTTAATATTTTTATTAATAGTCTGATAAAGAGCATGAAGTATAGACTCTATTAATTACTAGAAAATTCTAAACTTTAGAGCTTGAATAAACTATTTTTAAAATGAGTATAATGAGCACAACTTATGACACTAGGAACTCATATTGTGTTATTTTAAGTCATTGACTTTCAAAAATTTTATTAGCAGAAGATCATTTTCATAGAAAATTGTAAATAAATCCCCAATGTGAATAGATCAAGGAGGGTTGCTCTGATTGTCTGAGAGATAGACAGGAGTGAGGGAACCCACTTCTCTTCCTTTCTCCAGCCAAGGACCCTTTTTGAGACAAAGTTTGAAAGCTATTACCACAAACAAAGAGATTGATAGTGTAAATGAGCTTAAAGAGGGAAACAAAATTAGGGGATTATTGAATCCATAATAGATGATAAATACAAGCAACAAGAATAAGCCAAAAACAAAAAAACAAATCTGTGAACCTGAAAAAGTCTATCATGAAGAAAAGGAGTTTCTTTTAACTTGACAGAAGTGTTTAGGGAGTTTTAATAACAGTTGCAGGCCCAGCATTTAAAAATACTGTGCCTTCCAGAAACAAATGATAACTGGGTAGGTATTTTCAAAGGGACCCAAGGACAGAACACGTATATAGAATAAGTGAATCATGTGAGAGGTTGGATTTGGTGCTGGGTGTGGCTGGATTCGGTGCCAAGAACGGCTGGGTCCGGTGCGGGTGTGACTGGATCCGGTGTGGGGTGTGACTGGATCCGCTGCGGGCGTGTCTGGATCCGGTGTGGGGTGTGTCTGGATCCGGTGTGGGGTGTGTCTGGATCCGGTGCGGGTGTGTCTGGATCCGGTGTGGGGCGTGTCTGGATCCGGTGCAGGTGTCTGGATCCGGTGCGGGAGTGTCTGGATCCAGTGCGGGTGTCTGATCCCGTGCGGGCGTGTCTGGATCCGGTGCGGGCGTGTCTGGATCCGGTGCGGGTGTGTCTGGGTCCGGTCCGGGGTGTGTCTAGATCCGGTGTGCGGGTGTGGCTGGGTCCGGTGCGACTGTGTGTGCGTCTGGGGCCGTGAGTTTGTCCTCGGTGTGGGTGTGGCTTTGACATGCCTTCTGTAGGAGGCACAGAGCTGTGGGCTTCACCTTCTGAAGTGACCCCTGTTGATTCCATGTAGGTGTCGGCCGGCAGGTGCCACAGAAGCCCCCCCGAGGCGCCGCTCGGGGGCCCCCCCAGCTAGTGCTGCCCCCGCCCCCGCCCTACCCGCCTCCTGATGCGGACGTGGCCGAGCCTCGGCTCGGCGCTCCGGGGGAAGGCGCTGCTCCCGAGGCCTCCCGCCCAAGGCCCGCACCCGCACGTACGTGCCTCGTGTCCCCTCCATGTCGACGCCTCTCTCCCGTCTCTGGTGTCGGGGCTGGGTTTCCAGACTTTCCGTCCTTGCCTGGGGATGTGTGTGCCTCTCCCCTCCGGCTTTCCTCTCTAAATGCTCGACGCAGTGTGTCTGGTTAACAGCGAACGCACTCTGGATGCCAAGCAGCCACCCATGTAACATTATTTAACCCGTTAATTATTCATAGGATGAGATGGTTGGATGGCATCACTGACTCGCTGGAAATGGGTTTGGGTGGACTCCGGGAGTTGGCCTGGCGTGCTGCGGTTCATGGGGTCGCAAAGAGTCGGACACGACTGAGCGACTGAACTGAACTGAACTGAAATCATTCATAGTGCGGTTAGACTTCAGCCAAAACTGTATCCTGTGGGCCGAGGCAGCCAGCCGGGAGCAGAAAAATGTTCCTCGAGTTAGAACTGGCCTCAGAATGCTCGCCGGTCGCCAGGTCAACGCAGCACAGCGATGATGCGATCCTACACGTTGTGCTGGTGAGCCCAGCTGCAGCCGGCTGTGAAGGCAGGGGGCTGTGCTCCAGAGGTGGAGGGGGACTTACCCACTAGAGTCTGTGAACCCAGTGGCCAAGCATTAGTGCTGGAGAAGAGGAGGCTGAGGCCCCAGGAGGGGAACCAGCTTGATTTGGGTCTAGCAACAGCCAGAATGGAAGGCTGGTTTTGTTTCTGCTTCCTGTCACACCCAGTCTGAGATCAGGCTTTCTTAATCATTTCCTGGGATTTCTTTTGAACTTTGACAAACAGCATGTAGAGCATCCCTGCTTCCAGACGGGCCTAAGTTCTTTATATATACCTCAGATACATACAGGATCCCCTGGTGCCTCAGTGGTAAAGAATCCCCCTGCCAATGCAGGAGACGCAGGTTTGATCCCTAGGTCAGTAAGATCCCTTGAAGAAGGAAATGGCAACCCACTGCAGTGTTCTTGTCTGAGAAATCCCATGGACAGAGGAGCCTGGTGGCCCCATGCAGTCCATGGGGCCGCAGAGAGTCAGATGTGACTTAGTGACTAAACCACAGTAACACACACACACACAGAGGGCATCGTCCATATATTGAGCCTGTGTGTGTCCGTACTTCAGGACTTCTGAGCTATGAAGGATGTGTTTTTATAAACCTGGTACCCAGGTACCCTCCAGCGTTGCATTTTCCCAACAGCATAATGTCTCTGTGTGTTCCACCCGGGGAGAAGCTGATGCCTACGTCCCAAATGAGCTCTGTAGCCCTCTGGTTAGGAAGTTCATCCTTTTCTACCCTCCGACCACTTGATCTTTTTCTATCTTCCTTGGAAATGACAGCTAGCTCCCTGCCAGCTTCTGGGTAGAGAAGATAATTGTTGAATCACTTACCAACTTTCTCTAGGCAAAATAATCCTGATTCATTTTATCTCTTTTCACAAAAGACTTCTTTTTCTTCCTCAAAATACGTTTGATCATCTTGACGTTGGACCTGCTTCCAAATGCAAATGAAGTTTTTAGGGGATTCAAAAGTGGAGGATTAGACAGATGAGTCAGAAAGATGACAACCGAGGCTTGGACAGCTCCGGGGCTGTTTCATCTCTGAAGAGGGTGGGTTTGAAGCTCTCCAAGGCCCAAGCTTTCAGTGGCTGCTCCTGTGGCTGCCATCCTCACCTCCATGGATCGTCCTCCCTGGGGAGCCGGTGGGAGGAAGGACTGAATGGAGAGCGGGGCCCCTGGCAGCGAGGAGGGGCCACAGCCCGGGGGGCCCATGCCAGGTGGGAGAGCCAGGCCTACACATGACTTTCTCTCAGCCTGCAGACCCCAGTCTCCCCGGCCTGCCTGGGTTTGAGGGTGGTGTAGGCATGTGTGGCGTCTGCCAGGCAGACTAAGGACAAGATTTAGCAACTGCTTTTCTTTCATTTTGGCCACGCCACATGGCAGGCGGGGTCATAGTTCTCCACACAGGGGTTGAACCTGTGCCTGGGCAGTGGAAGGGCAGAGTTCTAACCACTGGATGACCAAGTCCCCAGCTTGTTAAAAGCTGCGTCATCCTGGAGAAGATTTTGTTCCTGCGTCTCTCCAGTGCCGAGGAGCCACACCCCACCCAGCCTTGGGAGCCTTTGAGACAAAGGTCTAGGCAGAGATTGGGCCTACACCAGACAGAAGGGAAGGTCCTTTGTGTTCCTGTCTGAAGGCTCCATCTTCTCAGTCCTGGGTCAGTTGCACACCTTAATCTCCCCACGTGCATGCCCAGGGAGCTTCCCCTGCCCTCCTCTCCTTGTCGTCCTCTCAAACACTCTCACAGACGTGCCAGGAAGAGAGCACAGAGGCACCGGGGGCGAAGAGAGAAGGGCCCATTCATGCTGGGACCACCCAGAGCCCTGCGCCTTCTGCGCCCTGCCCTTCCTCCTCCCCTCCGCACCACCAGCCGTGTGTGCCCCAGGAGTTAAGGCACCCACTTTGAAGCATTTACTTACCTAATTAGCAGGACTGTCCTGAGCGTTGTTACGGTGTGAAAAACTGGAATCGACCACTCAGCCAGGGAGAAAGCAATTCGCCTGCTTTGATTCAGGTCTTTTAATAAGTGAAAGAAAAAGAATGCTTTGTTATCATTTGTTTGATTTTCTTACACCATGCTGAAATCTGGGTACTGCTCTTAGCCTGTGTCCAGGGCACCAGGGATTGTAGGCATGTAAAGCACTGGGTGTGATTTTAGCCCTTGTCGGCACACACACCTAACCTGCGCTCTCATCAGACGTCCACTTATTTATAGCTATGGGAGCGCAGTAGGGACATTTGGATGCCAGCCACACACTATCGTGTTTCCTCCTGAGCTCACTGTTAGATCTGTGTTCTCTCTGAGTAACAATGTGTTTGCGGTGCAAACAAGACCTAACACCTGGAGGCCAGGTGAGATCTCGCCCTGTGCTCGCTGGGGAAAGCCGGTAGGAGGAAGCTGAGCCTGAAGCAGCTTGGTCACTGGCCCCAGTCTCACAGGCCCAGCAGCTGACATCAGGTGTCTTTGACCTTCAGTCTCTGCCGGCCACTCCCGCACTGTCCTCCTGCTGTGCTGGAAGCTCCCACCAAGCCCCTTCTGCTGTGCACGTTCTTTGTCATCTGTTCCCTGGTGGTGACTCCACTTAGGTTGTTACAAAGAGGCGAAGTATGTGTTCTTGAACACCAGTCAGCACAGCCAAAGGTAGGATGAAGAGAGTTAAGTAGCAGTGAATCAATAGTGACAATGGCTTTGCAGGCAGATGTGAGAAGGCGGTGGAGGGTGTGCCTGTGTGTGCACTCACTCAAAGAGTCGTGCCTGACTCTTTGAGACCCCATGGACTGTAGCCTGCCAGGCTCTTCTCTCCATGGGATCCTCCAGGCAAGAATACTGGAGTGGGTTGCCATTGTCTTCTCCAGGGGATCTTCCCGACCCAGGGATCGAACCCCAGTCTCTTGTGTCTCCTTCACTAGCAGGCAGATTCTTCACCACCAGCACCACCTGGGAAGTGAGAAGATATGAAATGGGTTCTCTGCACCACACACTCGGTTTTGATCTCGCCCGCTCCAGAACCTTCTGTTCAAGCCATCTCCCTGTCCCTGGTCTTGGTTCCTGTCCTCAGGCCTTTACTGGTGTTCCTGTCACTGCTCCCAACCCTCCCTTCCATCCCGGGCCTTCTGCCAGCTGATGTGAGCTACAGCTGGGCCCCAGGCCTGACCCAAGACAGACCTTTCTTCCCATTGTGTTGCTTAAAATTTTAGCAGCACTTGACTCGTGGTTATTAAGATCATATTGACCCAGAACAAAGGCACACTAAAGGAGATGTGTTCTAGCCAAGTGCCGTGTTTACCTGGGGCTCCTGGGCTTTTTTTGAAACTTTCTTGGTGGCTCAGAGGGTAAAGCTTCTGCCAGCAATGCGGAAGACCCAGGTTGGATCCCTGGGTCCAGGAAGACCCCCTGGAGAAGGAAATGGCAACCCACTCAAGTACTCTTGCCTGGAAATTCTCACGGACAGAGGAGCCTGGTAGGCTGCAGTCCATGGGATCGCAGAGTCGGACACGACTGAGCGACTTCACTTTCACTTTCTTTGGGCTCTTTTGGAATCTAAATTGGTTTGTAGTCAGAAAGTCACTATACCCTAGTGTGTCTGTCTGGTTAAGAGGTCTCCTGTAAGTGACTGGCCCTTCAACTCCTGGGGGCCCGCCCGGAGCTATCCTAAGTGCTCCCTAGACTCAGGCCCTTGTCGCAGGGTGAGGCTGTCTGTGCTGGCCCTGCTCCGTCCTAGGAGCCTGTCTTCAGCGTGGCTGCCCCTCCTGTTATCCTCCAGGTGCTCCTCCTTTCCTCACCATACTCGTTACAGAGGTCTGTGTGTGCTGCTCCACTGGCTGCAGCTGCTGGAGGCTGTCGTGGTCTTAAAGGGCGTCCTGCCCCAGCCCTGAGGCCGGTCTGTGGATGCTCTCCACGGTGTCAGCAGGGCCTCACATGCAGGCAAGGTGTGGAGACGCAGAGCTTGTAGCAGTCGTCAGCATGCCGGCGGGGGCCCCTGTTCGTCGGCTGTGTCATGGTCTGGCCCAGCTGTCAGGAAGCCCTCGATGCCCCCCGCCTCGTGTGTTCACCCCCTGTGTGGCCCCTCCTCTTGAACGTGCACTCCCATCTAATGAATAGAATGTGGCCGCAGTGGAGTCACCCGTCACCTCTGAGATTAGGTGCAGTCTCTGGCTTCCATCTGGAGCTTCTCGTGTGCTCACCCCAAGGGAAGCCAGCGGCCACATTGATCTGCTCTACGGGGCGACCCCATGGCAAGGGCAGAGGGAGCCTTCAGCTGACACCCAGTGAGGAACTGAGCCCCTTTGCCCACTGACCTGAGAGCTGAACCCTGCCCACAGCCACCAAGCAACCCTGGACGCGCACACAGGCTCCCCAGTCAAGCCTGCAGGTGAGACCACAGCCCTGATCCACACCTCGATTACAGCCTGTGAGAGCCGGAGTCAGAGGCAGGCGGC